GTAGTAACATTCACAGGTTCCAGGGATTAGGATGTGGACAACTTTGGGGGGCCGTTATTCGGCCTGCCACAAAGTCTATTTATCTTCAAAGGAAAGAAGGAAATCTGCTTACCTCTGTATCATATCAGGAAGTCCCAAAGTATCAGCAAGACCTTCTTCGTCCTTTACCCTAGGTGAAGATTGCTTCATTTTGTATCTTGGGTGTCTTGATTAGCATTTCCTTTGGAATATAAGCACTTCTGCTGGCTGTAAAATGTCAGTGCTTATGATACTACCCTGAATTCTTCTGGCTGCAGTTAGTACCTCCCAGATGCTCTGTCAGCACATTACAGAGCGGAGGCTCACAGAACACATTTAGCAATTAGATTTGAAAAAGAAGACTAGAAGGATTTTAGGATGAATGCAGTTTAGTTAATAGAATACTGAACTTAGGTTTCAAAGCTTAATTTCTAATTTTCTCACCATTAGCTGTAGAAGGAAGCCACCTGGAAGGAAGAAGGCCTTGTTGGTGCTTGGGTGTTTAACGTCCGTTTGATTTACTTTCTTCATCTTAAAAATGAAAACAGATTTATCCTTTCTCTACCCCATGGTTGTATTTAAAAGACAAACAAGTATGTGAGTGTATGGGTGTGTAGATCTAGATAGTCATAATGCCAGTACTAAAAACCTCTGGTACCAGTCTCCACATCATCTGTTATCCAGTTGCTAACTTATTGTTTATTAATTTAACCCAAGGCATATAAATATGAGGCTGTGACAATCAGTTGAAATACAGTTTATAATACTACTACAATGTGATATAAAAACTCATCTCTACATGTGACCTTTCCTGAAAGGTTCATTTAACTTTTCTGTTAGAGGATTCTCCAGGATTGGAGACCTGGTTTACTGTCTTCAGCAGATGGCTAATGTAGATGACAAACGAACAGTGTCATTAATTAGTAACTTGAGATCATATACCTCAAGTTGTCGATGTGTCTGTAACATGTTGGTATCAAAATTTGTTTCTGAAAATGTTTGATATTTTCAACGTATTTTTTTTTTTTTTTGCGAGAGAGAGAATGAGAGAGAGCACGAGAGGGAGGAGGGTCAGAGGGAGAAGCAGGCTCCCTTGCCGAGCAGGGAGCCCGATGCGGGACTCGATCCCGGGACTCCAGGATCATGACCTGAGCCGAAGGCAGTCGCCTACCCAACTGAGCCACCCAGGCGCCCTCAACATATATTTTTAAAGAAAATATTAGCTAAAATTACCTGTGGTAGGGGCACCTGCTTCTCCCTCTGACCCTCCTCCCTCTCATGCTCTCTGTCTCTCATTCTCTGTCTCAAATAAATAAATAAAATCTTTTAAAAAAAAATAAATAAAAAATAAATAAATAAATAAAATTACCTGTAGTAGTCCACCTCAAGCAGCATACATTTAGAATTTTCTGTCAGCTTAGCATTGCACTTTCTAGGGTATTTGTGGTGATATCCAGATTACAGGTAGAGATAATTCATTGGGATCCTCCATGGATCACCACTCAACCATATAGTCATGTAGAATGCAAAGTAATGAGATCCTTCAAAATGATGGAATTGCTTTTCTAAAATCTTATTGAGCAATGCACACTATTGACCATCTCAATTAAGAACATGTTTTATATATATATATGGAAGGACTCATGGAGGACAGCAAAGCAGAGCAGAACTTAAATAAAAATAACAAAGGGTTCCAGGTTATCCTACAGTGGAATGTTCAAAGAATGCTAGAGGGACAATGCAGCTATTGAGAAATAGGTCTTTTCCAGAAAATCTTAAGAATTTACTACTCTATACATGTAAATGGCTTGAGAAGGTGTTACAGTTGCAAAGTAGAAAGAGAAGGACAAAGCACCTAGGATGAAACTGATACAATGCTTGATAAAATAGTTATATAAATATATAGTAAATCCTGCTGCTTTTGGCATTGATGGTGTGATTGTGACCAAGACAGTCTTTTCAGATAAATGTGAATATAGGAGTAAGTGGGTTAACTCCCTGGTTCCTGCTTTATCCACTTAGTGAATTAAAGCTCCATACAATTAATTTGTGTACAGAGCACAAATAAATTAATTCTAACTCAGGAGCTACTGTATTGCTGTTTTATGGTATTCTTTTCCTGTTGAACAGTATACAGCTGATGTCACTAACAGATCTCATTTGCACTGCCTTTTGATTATTCCTTTTTTCTCTCTACATGGAAAATTACTAATACATTTAATAGCAGATGTAGGCTTCAACAAATGTGTAATTTAGGCAAATTTGGATAAGCTATTTTCTGGAATTCAGCTGAACCTATTTTTGCTCAGAGTGCCAGTCTGGCTGTTTAAAATTCATTGAAGAAAAGGCGTAATTGGCCACTACTTAGTGATATTTTCATTAGCTTAGATGAACATGGTGCTCTTCTTCTTCTGCACCCAGTACCTAGAGAATTGTAGATCGAGGCTATGTTTTAAATTACTCTGTTCCCAGAAGAATTATGGTGATACAAGCAAACAGGCAGAGTGGAGCTAAAATTATGAGATCTCCTAAAAACCCCATTATACAGTGATTACTCCTAAAGGGAAGGCTTCATGTGGAAGTTACTGGGCATTGATGGATTTAATTATAAGTATTTTTAGCATTACATAAAGGCACATGTAAATTAACAGCATGAATTGAAAGAGAAAGAACATCTAAAAAAATATTCAGATTCTTGGTGGAAGAGTTTGACCCGAGTAGCTCTATACCTTAATTTTGGTCTGGCCTCACATGCTTTATGTTTTATTTTATTATTGTTCTTGTTGTTAATTACATTATCATTATTATTGTTGTTGCTGTTATTGTTATTATTATTATTATTACTACTACTACAGTTTTGTATTCTGTTACTGGATTTAATTTCCCTTTACCAAATATGCATGGACCAAAAATGTGACTTTGGGAGAGTATTGCTGAGTCGATGCTGCTGTCAGTTTCATACTGTGATATTTTTTCTCTGTTTACCAAGAGATCAGTATTTCAATATAACGATGTGCATGTTTTCCCCCCTTCTCCCGCTGCATGCAGGGATTCGGGTTCGTAACTTTCGAGAATAGTGCTGATGCAGACAGGGCCAGGGAGAAATTACACGGCACCGTGGTAGAGGGCCGTAAAATCGAGGTGCATGTCTTCAATAATTCAATTTCTGGTTTATATTTTTATTTCTCTTTTTGTGTATTCCCTCACTTATTTCACATTTGGAGCCCTGTCTTGTGTGTGTGTCTGTGTCATTCACCTTCTTGCACTAAAATGTGTAAAAGTAACACTTCTGTCTCCTTTCCCCATTTTTTGGTTGTTGGGGGGGTTTCATTTTGATTTACTCATGTGCGTGTACATGTATATTTGTTTCTCATTTACTTTTTTCCTCCAAAATGTTCATCCTTCTGCTCTCTTGATTTTTTTCCTTTGCTTCAGTTTGCGAGACTCCATATGAATACCTGGGATCAGGCCAAAATAAAACTAACTTTATAAATGTCTAAAAACTATCCAATTTGTGACATTGTGTCCTGTAATTAATCAAGGAGCCAGCCAGTATCCTCTCTCTCGGGCGGCCAGTTCGCCTCCATGTGCGTGTGATAAGCAAGGAGTACAAGACTGCTGAGATGGTGGGGAGGGAAGAAAGAACCCACAACTCGTGGAGTTTTTAAGTATATTTAATATCAAGAATTTCTACAGTTAATGGATAAAATCCTCAGACCGAGGGTTTGACGGCTGCCTGGCGAATGTGCTGAGACTGTGTTCATGGCAGCCACGTGGTGTTCGCCAACCCTTTTGAAGAACGCAGTGAAGGTTAACTGGCTCCTTTCCCCTTTCCCAGTTTTTAAAAGTATAAACTATAAAAGCCACCATTTTGAGTAAGATGTCTGCATATTTTGCTTTTTCCCTCCCTTTCCGATGGTTTAGCATTTAGGGCCCTTCACTTGACTCACTCTTTCCATGGTAACTATACACAATGCTGGCGATGGTGCCCGTTGGCGGTAAGTGAAACAAAGCGCTAGAGAAGAAGCTTTTTCAATTGTTAATTACAAAACAATTAAATAAGAAAGAAAAAGTCCATCTGCCATCTCACATTAACACTACAAAATGTGATTTGACTTGTTCCTCTTCCTTTTCCTTTCCCCCTTTTATTTTCAATGCTCTTGAGTAATGCCGCCTGGACTTTGGATGTACATATTGTTTGTAGCAGTCTGAGCTGTTTGATTACTGACATCATGGTGATTTTTTTCCCCTTGCACATCTTACTCAGAGTTACTGAACTCCAAGTTTGGCTGGTTTTATTAATGCACTTCCTGCCCCTACTTCCTTTCCCCTTCCCCACACCTCTGTTTGTAGCTCTGACTGTTCTTTCCTTGCCCGCGCGACACCCCTCCTGACATTCTCTTTTCTTTTCCCCTGCCTTCTTGCTCTCTCTCCCCAAGTTCTGTCCCCATCCTTTTCCCTCTGTCTCTCCTACCCCTTCTCTCTGTTACCTGCGGCTATTGGTCTCTTGCTGACTGGTGGTTTCTGACTGGTTCTGGCCATTTTCCTTTTAGCGCTTGGGTGCATTCTGCTCTAGTGGCTAGTGTAAGCTCTGACCCCATTCTAATCCTTGTCTGTGAGAACCTCGCTCTTCACTCTCTCCCTTCTTTCCAAAACTGATTGTTTTTTCTTTCTTTTATTTGTGTGTGTGTGTTTTAACTGCATGCTCTCAGTCTCATCATTGTTGTATCCCATTCTTTCTTTTTAAATGTGAAATGTTTCTATTATTTGGTGGGTTGAACTAGAGTAAATGGAGTTTCTTTTCCTCACAAAGGAAGATTTCCCCTCTACCAATCCTAAAAGACCTATTAAGACATTTTTTGGTTCCAGTTCCACCTAAAATTGGTCTTTCCATAACACAAATTTATAACCATACAAATTTAACTTTAATGTAAATCCCCAGAGGCAAAATAAGACATTTATATTTGGTGTGTTTTATAATTCTTTTAAAAGCTGGCGTGTTCTCTGACTTGACCACACGGTACACAGCCAGGTTCTATGGTGATGCTGCACCCTCCTTGCAAGAGCTTTAGGCTGGTTCTCACACTGGGCTGCAGTCTTCCGGCTTTGAGGCTCCATTCATCTTTTTGTCATCAGCGCCATCTTTGTAACATCTACTTACCCTAGCACTGAGAATGCTCTAAATTCTGCACTTCTGTAATGAGGGTGGAGAGAACCATAAAACAAAAGAAACCGAAGCTTTATTTTTTTCAGTTAAGTGCCTCATGTAAAGGCCTTCTGAAAACATTATTCTTAAATGGATAGACCACATAGTCTAGAAAATTCAGCCCGGTCCTAAAGATGGTCAACATGGGATTCTAAGTTTTGAGATTTTTTTTTTTTAACTCCTCAAACAGTAAAATCTTACACAATCATCAAAAATGCTGAACATTAGAACAGGTGAAATCCATAGATTTATTTTCTTATCTTCCTGTAAATCTATTCCCTGACCCGTATGGCAAGCCTCTGTTTTATCAATGAACTTCAAAGTTCATGCGCAGAGTTGTACCCAATTTACTTTTTCCCATATTTTCCATAATGCAGAGACTTCTCTGTTTAAGAGATCTCCAAAAAACTTGCAGATGTATCTTTCCTTTTGATACCTTTAGCCCAAGTTTTCCATTTGGAGACCAAGAAACTGCATTTTACTCTTGTTAGCCTCATTTTATAAACACTTTAATTAAAATACTATATATTAATATTTTATATTGCTATATTATTTAAAATCAATGTTCTCTGAAATTTACATTTTATTAAACTGAGTGCTGTGTTATTGGATGAGCAACTTCATGTTCCCTAATATGGTCTACTTTCTCCCTGTCCCTTCTTTTTCCTTTATATTTTTAGGTGAATAATGCTACAGCACGTGTAATGACCAATAAGAAGATGGTCACACCATATGCAAATGGTAAGAGATGACAAATCATCTTCAGAAGGATGTCGTTTATTCTTGTATTAATATGTGAACTTTGGGTAATCATCAAAGAATCTCTTGATTTCAGTCCTATGGCAGTTTGTTTCATTTACATTGAACTATTTTACTAGGAGAGTATTTTTACAGTTTTGTTTTTTTTACAGTTAACTTTTTTCTTAGAATTAAGCTTAGTTTTTCAGTTACTAAGCTATAAGGGTCTCAGTAAAGTTCATCATACACACAGTGTAAACACGTCTTTTGAGGTTACCTGTTAACCCAGTGGGGTCCCACTAAGGCACCCTCATTTTTAGCTGCTGCTGTTCTCTGTGATATGATAGGCTTGTCCGTAATATGTGCCCACCAATGCTCACTTTTACTACTGATCCCTACCCGCACCTGAGCTTGAGTGGAATAATTCTTGACCCCTGCTCTCCTTTTAAAGGTATGCTCTAGAGATAACAGCCATGGTGCACATGGGTGCATGTGTTTCCCATCTTCCATCCCAGGACTACATGCTCTAGAGTGGGTTTCATACATGTTTCTCATTAAGAAAGAAACCCTGTGAATATTTTGCCTAACAAAAGCAGAACCTTTACATCATTTGTCAGTTTAGTCTAGACTTATGTTATCTAAATGATAGAATTTATTTTGAATCAGGGGCACCTGGGTGGCTCAGTCGGTTAAGCCGCTGCCTTCGGCTCAGGTCATGGTCCCAGGGTCCTGGGATCGAGCCCCGCCTTGGGCTCCCTGCTCAGCGGGGAGTCTGCTTCTCCCTCTCCCTCTGCCTGCCGCTCTGCCTACTTGTGCTCTCTATCTCTCTGTCAAATAAATAAATAAATTCTTTTTTTTAAAAAAAGAATTTATTTTGAATCTGCAGTGCAACAGTGGTTTTGCCAGCTGGGCTCTACAGGGCCTGTTGGGGAGGGGTGGAGCGGAAACCCATGGGCTGGGTCTTGAGGCCTGCAGCAACTCCTTCTCTGTCATATATTTTAGCATTCTGCATGAAATTTTATCTAGAATCGAATGGGATGTTTTCTGCTGCTTTTTAAAAGTTTGAATCTACTGCTAGAGTATGATAGTATGTGCTGGTAATGTCTTAAATCAAATATAAGTATCTTAGTATATTCCGTGATGTCTTCAGTAGATACATTTAGCCCAGTTTTTCAAACAGATGGTATAAATCAGCATAATTTGCATTTATCAGCGTAATTTACATTTTCCCTACCCATTTTATCAATGGTATATCATGTGACCTCCACCTCCCCCCTTTACCTCTTATTTTTTTTGTTTTGTTTTGTTTTGTTTTTTTATACTACTATCACAAAAACAAGTTTCTGGGATGCCTGAGTGGCTCGGTTGAGCGTGTGCCTTCGGCTTGGGTCATGATCCCAGGGCCCTGGGATCCAGTCCCACATCCTGCTCCTTGCTCAGTGGGGAGGCTGCTTCTCCCTCGTCCTGTTGCTCTCCCTGCTTGTGCTCACTGTCTCTCTGACAAATAAGTAAAATCTTTAAAAAAAAAAAAAAGTTTGCAATTTTGATAATAATCCAATGTAAACAAAATAGGAAGGAGAAGCAAAGTATGTCAAATTTCCTTTAGATCCAGGGAGAATGGTGTTGTAGAAAGAGTCACTGACTGGAATTTAGAAGACAGAAATTCTACTTCTAGATTTGGTTCTTCATTTTGCTCTGTGTCATTGGGCCAACTTTTTTTTTTAAGATTTTATTTATTTGTTTGTTTGACAGAGAGACGGGGCCAGGGAGAGGGAGAAGTAGGCCTCCTGGCGAGCAGGGAGCCTGATGCAGGGCTCGATCCCAGGACTCAGGACTCAGGACTCGGAGATCATGACCCAAGCCGAAGGCAGTCGCTTACCCGACTGAGCCACCGAAGCGCCCCTGGGCCAATTTTTTTAACCTGATTCTGTTTTTGTCTCTATTAATTGGCAGTCACAGAATTTTAGCACCTGAAGGCCCTGTGGAAGTCATCAAAACCCAGCCCTCTTAGCTTATTATTTAGGAAATTAAGCCCAGAGAAGTACAGTATTTACTTGTTGTCCCAGCTGTGGTACCTTTCTTTTAACTCTCCCTTTGGGTTTTGTAAGGGTCAAAATACATTGTAAATTGTACAAAACTAAACATATTCCAAGAATTTTTTTTTTTTTAAGATCTTATTTATTTGACAGAGAGAGCAAGAGCAGGAACACAAGCAGGGGGAGTGGGAGAGGGAGAAGCAGGCTTCCTGCTGAGCAAGGAGCCCGACACGGGGCTCCATCCCAGGACTCTGGGATCATGACCTGAGCTGAAGGCAGATGCTTAACAACTGAACCACCCAAGCACCCCTATTCCAAGTATTATTGACAGCATACCATTATATACCATTATTAAAATGTGTGTTATTACTTAAGGGAATGCTTAAGTAATAATGCCATTGGCAGGAAGGAAAAAAGTCATTTTTTGAATATTATTCTAAATTAATATTCAAGCCTAACAGAGCCAAACTTTAGAGACCTATAGCTTCTTGTGGTTAAGGCTCCTGAGAAGAGTGTGCTAGGTGCCTTCTGGTGAACTCTGAGCCAGCAGTTTAGTTTACGTTGGTTAGAATCACTTGATTTGTCTGACATTGCAGAACATTGTGTTCTTACAACTCCAGTAGGATTTGAACTGAGATATTTGCTCAACTTTCATGTAAAATAATGTGCTCACCATCTGTGAGCACATAAAATAATGAATGGGGGATTGGATTGGTTCAGAATAAATGACTTTTCTCTTGAATACTGTCTCCATTCTTTCAGAAAAATAATGGAGCATGTTTGCTAACTTATGTGTAAAATTCTATAAATGTCTATTGATTAAAGTTTTCATCTGGAATTCTCCTTAACTATCAGTGGGCAGTAGTACATTTTTCTTTTGTAACTCCTGCTACATTCCTATAAATATAAAAAGGGGGAATGAAGAAATAAAGTTGACATCAAACCTAATGTCTGGGAATACTTAAAATATATAAATGCTTAGGCTGATGTTCAACAGCAGTCTGTTATCCTTTAGCTAAAACGACTGATTAACTTAAGTATGTATATTACCAGTAAAATCCCAAGACATGCATGAAGTTGGGGATGTACCTTGAATTTTATTACTGCGTGTCTCTTCTTGTTCACCTGCCTGAGGTCAACCAACCAAATTCCAACGGTAAATCCCAGAGAAAGGGGATTTTGGCTTACCCAGATTTCCATCAGCATAGTATGATTGAACACAGAGTTGAAGATCAGCTCAAACTTGAATTCAGAGGATACCTTTATAAAGCAGCGAGAGTAGCAAATAGTGTGAAGATAATGTATAAGAAAATGCATCACAGTGTGGTGTAGAATGACATATTCTGCCTTTCTCCTTTTTCTAAAAATAAATAATACATTCTGAGCAGTTCTATGAGAGAGACTATGCCAGAGCCCAGGATTTATTTATATTTCTGATATTTCTTTGTCCTCTCATTCCTTTTCTGTCTTCCTACTTCCCTCCCAGTTTTTCTCTCCCTCCAGTTTGCACCTCTACTTGCCCCCACCCAGCCTCTCATTATCCCCACCTCACTGTGCTCCTCTTGCTTAAAGATGCTCAGCTGTGGAAATGCCTGCCCCCCCCCCCCCTCCGCAAACCTCCCAGCTGGCATTTACAGAGAAGATGGTGATGGGTGGAGATAAGCCCAGGGATATCTGGAGCCAGCTTGCACATGCCCCCATCACCCCTTTACCACGTGTTCCTCATGTAATCTTAAATGTTCACTGTCCTCTCTTCCCATTTCAGGTTGGAAATTAAGCCCCGTAGTTGGAGCTGTATATGGCCCTGAGTTATATGCAGGTAGTATTTCGTTTATTTTTCCATTTGTGAGCACGTTAACTGTAACACATCTGTTGTTTTTCAGTTTACTATTCTTTGTAATCTTTTTGCATTTTTTAATTTTTTTTAAATGCAATCAGCATCCAGCTTTCAAGCAGACGTGTCCCTAGGCAATGATGCAGCAGTGCCCCTATCAGGAAGAGGGGGTATTAACACTTACATTCCTTTAATCAGTAAGTAGCCTATGTTGGCCTGGCATGGATTTTGACTGTTGTGAGTAAACAGTGATGTGTGCTAGTCTTTTTTTTCCTTCCTCAAGTATAATATGTAACTGAAGAGGAGGCCTTCTCGAGAGTTAAATGCTGTCACAGTGCCCTGTCCTGCTTAACTTAACTGTGTTAGAATCTTTCTGACCAGATATTAAGATTGCCACGAAGCATAAATAGTTGGAAAAGGTCGAGGGGGGTGAGGACATGTGTAGAACATTTTAGTCTGCACTTGATATTAAAGAAAACCAAAGAAATAGGTACTTGTGGAATATATTATGTTCTCTGCAAGTCAGCTTTGGGCCCTCTAGTAGACTATCATTTAGAAGTACCTCCGGTATTAATGATTATTCTCCGCTCTGTTGATACCTCTAAAGTCATTCTGACCTGAGCCATTTTGCTCCAGCAAAAGGTATAATTAAAAAGAGTTTAGTGAACATGAAATAAATGTTTCTGTGTGCTTTCCAAAGGATAGCACATTTAAAATAGACCTTTAGAAACTGCCTGCCTCCCTAAAGGCCACAAGATTACAGGGGAGAAGTCATTTCCCTCTCCCCTTACATTTCTGGATTAAAACATTTTAGATAAAAGAATAAAGTGGACTAATGAAATGTCTAAAGATTATTGTGTGCCTTGGAGATTGGCACCATGTACAAACACAAAAGACTATTCTTATGAAGAATAATTATTATATGTGCATAATAACATGGGAAAACCAGACTAATAATTGGCCAGTTAAAGAGTTTATATCAATCCCTGTAAACTGCCCGCAGAAATGAGAAGTCTCATCTCTTTATTACGGCAGTAGTTCTCAGAGCTTCTTGACCTGTTTCTCATCAAGCTTGCGTTGTAAATGCCAGAATTGAGAAGGAGCAGAGTAAACTCACTCAAGATGGGTGACGAACAGAGCATGCATCGTTAGCTTTGCATATTGGGTCTCTCCATTTCTTTCTCAGAAAAGGTGGGGTACGTATCTTTCCACCTTTCCTGGAATTGGTTCAAAGCAAGTTGGGATTGTACCCCCTGCTATTGAATGCAAGTTGACATTCCTGTCATATTTTGGGTCTCCCTTTAGTTCCTGGCTTCCCTTACCCGACTGCAGCCACCACGGCAGCCGCTTTCAGAGGAGCCCATCTGAGGGGCAGAGGGCGGACGGTATATGGTGCGGTCCGAGCGGTACCTCCAACAGCCATTCCCGCCTATCCAGGGTAAGCACGAGATTCCAAAATAAGCAGCTGGACGGAAAAGAATACCATGGCCCTCTCACAACTTCTGGGACGTTGCTGTGCCACATCGTAGAGATTCTATTAATATTTGTAAATTAATGGATTAGATGGCAAGAACCAAAATAGACCATCATCAGAATGTAACAAAATAACAATTCGTTATATAAATCTTTATTTTGGCCACCTTAAGCCCTCATGGTAGTGGCTTAAGACAGCAGCCAGAACGGTCTTGTGTTGACTGGCAGTGTGTTGGCATGGAGTTCACTCAGCATCGCACGAATATGGATTAACACTACTGCAGAGAACCAAAATAGGAGCTCAAGACTGTAGTCCAAGACCGCATCTGCTGTGCTTACCCCCTTATCACCACCCTGTGTTGGGGCTGAGGCTACCACATCGCCCTCCCTTTTGGTTTCACTGCCTGGGTGGTGAGCAGCAGAGCTAGCTACCCACAATGGATTTGCTTTCTTTGTAGGAAACGGATTAAAAGAGGTTAATTCAAAGATGAACCAAGTCCAATTGAATCCAGGGAGAAAGGGAGAAGTAGGAAGAATTAAACTACAGTTGGCTTCTGAATGATGGTAAAACAACTAATGTAGCTGAGCATCCCTCACCCTTTGATTTTTGTATGGAGGGTGTCTCACGCAGTGGAATGATTCCATAGCAACAAATCAATCCTTTGCTGTTGAACGGGGGAGAAGGAGTGAAGGTGGCAGGTTTTGTTTTTCGTTGTTTCTCAGTGTCAGCCTAAAATGTATCTTTTTATGAAGAGTGGACTTCAATAAGTTAGCTGTACTAAGGACATTCTTTCTTCAAAGAGGCGACATTTGTGTTCTGCATCTTTTCTCTGCCTATGACAGGGTTTTTCCCATACTCTCTCGGAGGAAGAAACGCACTGGCAGAGGAGCCTGTTCACTGTTACTTAGTTAAAACCCAAAGGGAAAGAGCCTCCTCTGTAGGTCCTTTTCTGACAGCAGAATTGGCTTTGAGGTGTACTAACTTAGCATTCATTCATAGACCAAATGGACATGCCATTAGGGGTCCTCCGTTGCACAGAATTAAAGCATTTTTATTAGACAAGTATGCATGTTGAACTGGACAGGCTCCAAAAGCTGCCGGAAGGTAACTGCTTTAGAAATAAACTTTTGTTTGCAGTTTATAGATGTTTAAATCCCATGCATTCCATCATCTCCATCTTCTGCCATTACTTGCTTTTAATTTTATTCTTTCTGCTCTCAACTTGACCTTTGACCTTCAACCTCTGACATCTCTTTAAAGAAGTGAATAAAGATGCAGTATTATTTCATCAAGAAATAAGTAAAATATAAAAACAAACCTTTTGGAAGTTCTGCACACCAGGAAAATTGTTCATGAAGCACCTTCCATTTCAATCCAAGAGAGTTTACCGTCATGCTGGCAAAGCGATACCACTTACCAGAAACATGGGACTTTTTTATTTTGTAATCTTCCTGAGTTACTTTATAAAAGCGGTTGGATTCGTTCCTATTCTATGTAGCTCATTTCAATATATTGGCCAAACTTGAGAATCCATTCTCTGCCAAGTCTGTGTCAGGATTGTGTTCCCTCAAAGATATTTTATCTTTATGTCTAATCATACCAATCTCTGTGCATTACATTGAACACTGATTTCCCATGTTTTCTTTTTTATTAACCACCGGTTTACAAGGAAGATGGCAAGGAATAAGTCCAGTATTATATGGGGAATGGCCTAAAATTGCTTTTCAGCTTAGTAAACTAATTTCATCATTAATCATTATGTTCTAGCTTCCTTGTGGCATTTGATACAGGGAATATTAGAATTCTTATAGAATTTAGGTGAATATTCCCAGTGAGTGATGCAACTTAGGGTAAACTTAATTCGTGTTTTTAATGCCACCACTCTTCTCTGTAGAAGAGATGTTTGTCATCTTTGCCTGTGTCCCCTACTGAAATAGTTGAAGGTTAATTAATCACCACTTGGCTTCAGTGCTTTCCATTCGGTCAGCCTTCTCCTTATGAACAAGTGTCTTAGTTGAGAGGCAGATTACTTTCTAATATCAGTCTCTAACTACAGTTGGAAACTATGAAAATGGATAGAACGTAGTAGCTAAATGAGCATCACAGATGAATTCAGTCTGCCTGTTGTGTAATACAAAGGCACAGCGTATTGGGGACATTGCAAAGTGTGACCATACTATCCTGTAAACCCAACAAAATACCATTGTAAATAGAATTCAGAAACTTTCCAGCTACCTGCAAAAAATAAATTATTTCATATTCAAGTAAAAAAATAGGATTTAAAGACCTCACTAGTTTATTTATTACAACAGAGAAGATAGTGGTAAAATTTCCAGCTTGCTTAGTTGAATAAACCATAAGCAGATCTTCTCATTTAAAATATCCAAATCTTGATTTAACAAATGTGAAGAAAAAAGTCTTATCTTGTATCTCTACTGCTGTTTCATGTCTTTTGGTCCCAAAGTAATGTTTTGGGGGAAGTCTATATGCACAGAACTAGCTCAAAAGGTTTGAAGTCTATGATTATAATAGTTTAATGTTGCCCAGGATTAAAAAAAAAAAAATCCTTGTATTTTGTTTGATACAAATTCATTTTTCTAAACAGGAAAATAAACCCTTCTATTCCTAATCAGCTACTTTCTCAGTTTTATCCTTTTAAATGAAACAGGATGATCCTTGGTCATGCCCAGAACGTCAGTTATCAATTCTATTTTTCAGAGTTCCATGAATATGCTTATGGTCAAAAAAGAACCCTTAAAATCTTCCAGTTCCTCCTTCCCGCTCTGGATTATATTGTTACTATCTGGGATCCCCACTGCACCTTTCAATTCTTGGACCTTGGACCAATCACCTTAACCTTTAGCTCATTATCTCTGCTTGTGAAAGCAATGCATTGTGGGTATTTTTGGTTGTGTTTTTTTTTTTTTTTTTAATTACATTTCTCTGTTTACTTTGGTCAGAATTGATTGACTTGTTTTTCTGAGGTGTTGCATTGGTTCTTAAAATGCTGAATAATAATACTTTGCATGCTTGTGTGATCAGCCAAATCTTATCGCATGTCTAATGTGCAGGGTAAAAAAGCAGGTGATGTATGGATATCAGGAAAAAAAATTGTACATACTTCTAGGAAACTGAAAACAAAATACTAAACATAATTTTGAAACATACTCTACATACAGGTCCCGCCCTGATGGAATTCTTTGGGTTCATTTATTTTTCACGTTAGATCCCTCTTTGCGTGCCTCTCCCCCCACCCCATACACACGCAGTCATTTTCAGACTCTTTAAAGAAAAATTTCCTCCTAGGGCAAGCTTTTTAAAAAAAAAAAACAAAACAAAACCAAAAAAAAACCCCAAGAATGAAAACTTGATGTTTCTCATCCAGCAGATTTCCGATAGTTCTATTAGGCCCTCTGGGAATGCTTTTTATTGTTGTAATCTTCCTGTAATGACCCATGTATCCAGGTGTCCCTTCCAGTTTGGCGCTCCTCCTCCTCCTCGCATGCCCTGGAGCTGTATAACGTGCGTGCGCACCTGCACGGTCCTCTCACGCGCTGCGGCCCCCAGCCCCCGTTATGTATTCATACATCACCTGCCTGTGTAGAGCGCATGTGCATGCTGCCGTCCTCAATAACCGGAATGTGTTTCTGTTCTTTTGTTTTTTTGTTTTTGTTTTTGTGTGGATTTTCTGCAGTGTGGTTTACCAGGACGGATTTTACGGTGCTGACCTCTATGTAAGTACACACACCGGGGCCTTCTCGACCCCATTCCCTGACAAGCCAGCCTTTTTTTTTCTGTTTCTTTGGTTTGGTTTGGTTTTTTGTTTTGTTTTGTTTTACATATAATTTGTTTAATTTTTATTTTCTTTTTCCTTGTGGATATATATATATATATTTATATATTTAAGAATGCAAGCATGCTTCTCTGCCACTGCGCTTGCCCCTGGGTGCAAAAACTAAGCCTTTGGGTTTCCTGATCATTGCTAGAGTCAGTCTACTGGACATATTCTTTTCCCTTCCCTCTACCCACAGATGTTCTGTGTATCAGTGATTTATTGGCGAGATGATCAGCAGGTTTAAAGTCTTTTATTACTGTCGTGTCATGTGCATACATAAATAACAGGATAGTTAACATTAGCTTAAACCAACTCTCTCTCTTTTCTGCTTTTCTTCTCATTTCATATCCCTCTTTAGATCATTGGAGCTTTGATTTAAGATGGCAATAAGCTTTCTGAACTATGTGTTTTCCTATTTTATATACTTTTGAGAGAGCATTACCCTGTGAAAGGGGAGGAAGGAGCTGATGCCAGTGAAGAGTGGGGATAAAGAGAAGAAACCAGACACTCAGTGCTTCCGGCCTTGCTTTATCAAAAAGGTCCACAACTGGTGGGTCTCTTTTCTTAAGAGCCATCTAGAGGGAAATAAGTGGCATAATTAGCAACCTAGACTCTTCTTACAAACGTTTGACTTTCATATAGGATCTGTTGATTCTCCCAGCCATGTTAACATCATTATTATTATCCATTATTGAAACTGTCTTGTTATATCGTGATTGGTTTGTCACATATTATTTAAAATGTGGACAAAGTGATCTAACTGACAAAGAATCCAAAAGTTTTTGAGCTTTGAAATCTTTTATTAAGACCTCTCCAGATGATCTGTTTCTGAATGCAAGCTTAGTCTAACCACCCAAATCATTAAGAAATTTCTTAAGAAAAACTTGTCAGCATGAAATTATTCCTTGGGCAAAGGTTAGACTTGTCCAGAAATGCTTTCTCCACCCTTACCTCCACAAATCAATAAGGGTATACCTTTGCAGTGAACTGTTTCCACAGATTTCTGCCAGAGATTCTCTGGCAGTCAGAAAACTTACTGTAATGTACTTTCAGAATGTACTTAGAGGTTCTGTGTGTTGCAGGAGGTAAAGATAGGATAAAGCAGTCTTCTGGGATACTGTAGGTACCTGGACACACCTGTCCTATTAGAGTAGACTTCCAAAGTTTGCCTTAGTTTAACAAATGCTGAAAGAAATCTTAGCCATGAATTGGTCCAACCCTCTCACTTCATTATATACATTTCTTAGAGAGATTGTGACTTACCCAGATTACATCAATTATTTACATAGCCAAGCACAAAACTCAATCCATATTTCATTACCTCTCGCAGTGCTTTAATTAAAATCCACATCTTTCCTCAGATGGTTTTCAAGAGGTAAATGAAAGATACCTTTTTTTCCTGTGCTCACAGTGAAACTTGAGGGTTGGGGGAATATTTCTGCTTTTATACCAAATGACACTTTTCTAAATATACGTATTTGCATATGATCTTAGCATGTACATTCTCCCATACACATTAGTATCCGTATTCTCATGAAACTCATCTTTATGTTATGTAAATTGTTTTCCTGAAATTTGATTTATTAGAGCATGCCTTTCCACTGGAATTATTTCTTAAAGGTGTTTTTTTTCCTCTCTCTCTCTCTAATATCTTCTTTATTTGGGGATTTTTTTTTTAAGTATGGCTTACCTTACTAAGATTTGCCTACTTCCACCTTGTTTAAGTGAACCAACCAAATATTTGCTTACAGTTCTCTTATTTCTGTAGTTCACAATATACGATTTTATTAAGAGAGAGATGATTTTTCTGTACTTAGAAAATACTCTTGAAAAAAAATTTTTTTAATCTAACTGGATCACCTTATGAAGCTAAATAGAAATAATTTAGAGACCTTGCTGAAATACTTGTTTGATCAGTGGTGCTTTCTTAACAAAAAGAATTAATCATAATGTTATCATTTCTTAGTTCCTATCTTAAAGGAGGGAAAAGTTGGTCACCAGTGCTTGCAATAATATCTGACCCCGCTAAGGAAAAACAAGACTACATAATGAGGGGTAGCCGTTGAGTGAAGGCTCATGTAACTACAGCTTGGAGAACTTAATATTCCCACTTCCAGATGTGAGGGAGCCGGGGATGCTTCTTTTAAACACACACATATACACACGCACAGCGCCCCTCTTTGTTTCCTTGAGTTTGTTTCCTTCTCTCTGTACATTTTCCCGCCTGTGGAAATCTATCCATATACACAGAGTCCTTGTTTCCTCAGAAATACAGACGAGCAGTAAGGACGAGTGGAGGGTCTGTCCACTACACGAAGTACACCAAACCAGAGCTTGAAGAAACATCACGAGGAAAAATAGTTTAAGCTGCCTGTTTTATCTTAAGTTGTACTAATGTAGGCTGTTACTTGTAGAGATTTTTTTTTTTTTTTATCTCTCCCTGTTCTGTTGTTAGTCCGTAATCCCTGCTAGCCATTTGCTTCTTTTCTGTTTCTTTTGTGGCTCTTGCCTCTCTGGGGAACTGATCTAGCCGTTGTGCCCGCAGTGTGTAAAGAGACCACAGTGAGAAGCCTTGAGTGTAGCAGATAGATCGTGTGCCCTCCCCACCCCTCTTTTTCTTGACCAGTAGAAAAGGCATGGTTCACCCTAATTCACTTTTTAAAGGGATAACAAACTGCTCCTAATTCTTACCCTGTGAAAAGCATGCTTGCATCCAAAGGAAAGAAAAGGCTGGTGGGCCCCTTAGCGGGCTTTTTGTATGATTGTTTTCCTTCCACAGCTGTGTTTTTTGAACTGCTCTTCCTGTGTTCTGTTATAGAATAGTCTTACAGGAACCAATCATTAGCGCTAAAATACCTCAGGTAGGAGTGCCAGTGTGACCTGCCAATCAATCAGATTGTGGATTGCAGTGAAAAAATTGAATTATACTAACCATTCCAGCTCCACGTTAGAGATGGGAACAGAGGCTTTTTTGGACAACCGAGACTTGTGAGCGTGTGATCTAAGCCCTGCTACCTCAGCAGCGTGCAGTCCAGTTCTATGCGTGATGGCACCTCCTCCAAAATTAAGTGCTCGCGTCCCATTGCCGCTGTCCACGCCAGGCGTGTGCTGTGCGCTGTCCCATCACGGCCGCCTCTCTTAGTTTGTCAATCACATTTCTCTATGGCGTTCAAACTGGGCTTTTATACTTGGAGATCTTAGCAGGTGGAGACATCTTCTCTCCACCGTGAAAGAAATGAGGAAAGGGAGGAAGTCGAGTCTCTGCGGACAGGACTCCTGAATCCCTGATTGGGCCCCCCAGTAAGACCATAGTAGTGATTGGACCGTGCTGTTACCTAAGTTTGAAGTTGCCTAAAAATCTAGATCCACTGGGACTCTAAAACTTGAAACATGTATTCCCTTTGCCCTCTTTGCCTTTCTCCTTAAAATAAGGTCAGTGAGTTCATTTGGATAATAATGCACTGTTCAGTTTGCTGATAGCTGGATGCTCAGGGGAAGGACAGCAGACAGCCTGTCACACAGTTCAGCTAGTTTCTTTTTGTGCCTACCCAGCGAGATTTGGGAAATGAACTAATTTGGGGAGAAGTGAAATAGTGGAGTGTTTGAGAGGTTTGATTCATTAAAGATCATCTCTCATCTACCATTGAAGTCGTAAGTGGAAGATAAGTTGATCATGACAGTTTCTTCCCCTCGCCCCAATTTTAAATAATAATAAAATAATATGTAAATACTTATCTTTAAGACCTTTTCATATCTACTTTTCAAAGTAGATAGGTCACTGTCAAGAATAGTAACAATATTCTCATTATTACAAGCGTTTGTGTTCACATCTGTATTTACTCACATTTAATCAGGGGTGCCATATTGCCACAGAAGAACGGTCTCCTACGAGCCGTTCCTGCAGGGTCCATCTAGGGCGATGGCTCTGGGCTGGAGTGGGAAGGAGGCGAGAGAAGGGAGGGGGTTAGAACCGGGCAGGGACAAATAAAGTGATGCCCAGAGGCACAACATTCAACCCAAGCTCCTTGGGCTAGATCCTGCTCCCTATAGTGATTTTAAGCACCACACCTGCCTTTCTCTCCACCCACCCACCCCTACTCCCCTCGTTCTATAAATCTGTACACGATGTTCAGGGAACAAGCTCTCATTTTGTCTGCTGGTCTTGAAATACACACTCTTCTCAGTGTCATATAATGTAACTGTCTTCCAGGTAGAAAGAAGGTGTCTTGACATCACATGCTCACCAAAGTCCTGTTTTAATGTAAATCTATTAATGGCTAGGTTAAAATCAAGACAAGGGGAATGTCTACCCGTGTGAGATCATGCTAATAGATAATGCAGATAAAGGTCAGATACGGGAGAGGTGGATATGTAGAGCCCTTCCATCTTGTTCTGGTTAAAACAACTGTTTTAGAAAAGTCCTGTGGTCAATGTGGCAACATTATAAAGTTAATTAAATGATAAAGTCGATTCAGAGTGGAGTAGAGAATCCCTAGCAGGTGTTGATGGATCCTGGACAGCTGAGACTTGAACAACAAAAGGATCTTAAAGGTAACCACGCTTTCCTGGGAAAGAGCTGAAAGTTGAAGGCAGGGATGTGTCATGGATATGTGAAAAGATAGACCGCTTAAGCCCGGGAACTACGTCCAAAGAACCCTGGGTCAGAATGGATGGGTGCTGCCCAAAGGCCAGCACCCAAGCTCGCTCCACGGGTCAGGACTGAACCTCACTAGCAGGGTCAGGAAGGGTGCATAGGGCAGTGATGGAGTGTTGGGCTGCCCCTGTTGGGGACACTCCGGAGGCATTCACAGTGAGTTACAAAGGAATAAGAGAGTAATCCTTTTAAAGGGGCACGCGTGTGTTTGGACCAGGCTCAACTGTGCCAAATGTGTCCAGCCATCAGGGTTCCAGAAAGCAGTCCGTGTGTGCCCTCCTACACTAGGGTGTGCTGTGGCCATGCTAATCCCCATTTTTTGTTTTATTTCAAATCACACACAGATAGAGTCTGCAAACTGCTTCAGATCCAACAGGTCTGATTGTGTGTAAATACATATGTCCTTTTTAATTTTTATTCTTAATGGTTGCTTCAGTTTTGCATCAGTGCATGGTTAAAAGCAATACACATCAGCTATTTCATGACTTCATATCTCCAAATGAATTATTTCTCCTCTTTTTTTTTTTGTTTGTTTGTTTGTGCAGTCAGCTGAAGACACGTTAACATCTCACTCTAAATCTCTCAGTGGAGTCTCTGTTCCCTTCTCTGATATAACAGATGGGTTACTGCTTGTTATAATTATTAACATTGTGGTGTGGGCCAGGGCGAGGGGGGGCGACCTTGACTATTCCTTGGGCTGGGGAGGGCCAGCTGTTAGGGTCTGGAATGTTAACTCGAGTGGTGACTGACTGTCTCCGTAATAGCAGGGTTGTCGTGGCTGCACGCTCTAGTAATTGAGGCTGTGTACTTCACCGAGCTTGTGGTAGAGCCGAGGGCGAACCGCTGTCCCAAGAGAATGCTGGGATAGATAGAGTTAGCCAATACGAGTCTGAACGTGGTGATTTTGCTGGTTGTTTTAGCTCCAGATGTTGGCATGCTTAGTTTTTAATGTGATTAATCAATGTGGCGCCATTACCCCCCCCCCCCACGCCTGAACCCTGTCCTCCTACTCCCTTCCCCACCCTTGTTCTTTCTGAAAAACTTAAGAAACGGTAATGAAAACCTTGGTGTTTCAAACTGCTCTTTGTTCTCATGTTCTGGAAAAGATTTCAGACTCGCTAGTCGAGGTGAAAGTTGAGAAAACAATTTCTCGGCCCGGAAGCTTGACGCGCTCCGAAATCGGAGTAGACTAATAAGTACGTCTGAATCTTCTCCGTCTTACAGTTTTTGACGTATTTTGTTTGAAGCAGTAGCAGAAATGCTTTGGTGAGACTCCGTCTGAGAGAAGTAAATCCATGATACACAACGCAACTTTCCTAATTGGGGGACAGTCACCGATGAATGAGCAGATTAGCTTATTGGAATATTATCTGTCCATCCTAAACACAGTCCCCCCCCCACCTTAACGGGCCTCTCTGTAGCACCACCGTAAAGTAATTAGGAGGGTGGCCGTTGAAATGTCATCAGCTTAAAAAAAATCAGTGTAGTTTTTCTTAATGCTGATCTTCTTCTCAAGCCTTTTGCTGGCAACAAAATATTTGTATCCCTGTCCTATTTTCCTGAATTTAAATAGCAAAGAACCTCATCAAATTCAAACTCCAAAGTCTGAGTCCACTTATAACAGAAGGAAACTACTACAGATAAGAGTCTTCTCGTCTCCTCCTGGCTTGGAAGGAAACTTCTTTCCCACAGTCTGATCCATTTTGAATTGTTTTGGTTAACAGTAACATTACCCCAAAACCATTGCAGTTCTGCTGGCTTCTTACAGGCTGAGGAAGGGGAGGGGAAGTGGTCCTATCAGTAACCTCATTCAGAACCTCTTTTTACAGCATTAGTGCACTAACCGCCCAAAGCTATGATTTGATAGAATCCCCAGTATCTCTGACTTTACTGAGACTTTCTGAGAGTCAGGTCAGTACTTTTGAGCCTCAGAATCCCTTAATGGGAATGTATACTCTGCCCTATGGCATAGAACTTCAGTTTTTAAATGTTTTGCTCAGGTAAACATAAATTGGGCTTTTTTAACTGCTTTTATTACCTTGACTTTCTAATTTTTAAAGATTCTTTTGGTGTTTGAAGGAATGCTACGGAGACAAACCACATACTGCTTGTTTACCACATTATCCTTGTTTACAAAGAAGTTTTACTAAAACCAGCCCTGCTATAAAACACCAGCAAACTTCAGTTCTAAACTTAATGGAATCATCTGTAGTTATAATGAAAAATTGAGCCTTTAAAGGTTCATTTAAAGCTTAAAATTTCAACTATAAAGATTAACCTGTTGCTTTAACAAATGTTTTTCCTAAAAAGGAATAAGGTAAAGAGACCCTTTAGTTTAGGTATAATGCGTGTATGTGTAGGTAGATGCAGTTACACACACGGATACGGCAGGGTATGGGATGCAGCCTGCGATGTGTAGCTTTGCCCAGACCAGCCTGGCCTGCCCGTCCCTGTAGGCCTGGCCAGATGTCAAAGCGAACGTGTTGATCACACACGGCCCCGAGGGTGCTTCCTGCCACGTTTCTGTCCTCTACCATTTCCTTGTCAGTGTTGGGTGGTACTAATTAGAATCTTCTGATGTATATAGATATCGGTGGGAGAATTTGTGATTAAGAAGGAAACGTTTGCTCTTCTGAGTGATTCGCTTGAAGAACAAGGAGCAGTAATGCATGGCTACTGAAATTCAGTCAGGGATGCTTCAGGGTACGTTTGAAGCTACTTTGGATGGTTTCAAGCCGCAGACGGTTAGAGAGCAGGAGTAGATGTCCCTGCGTAGTGCAGTGGGTTCCCTTGGAGAAAGAATCAATGAACTGGTGCCTAGGCGCACCAGCTGAACATAGTCATATCTGATAGGGAGAAGAGGGTAATAAAAATTCACTCCTGAATTAGGTTTGGGTGAAATAGATGAGTTCTTGAAGGTTAAAGAAGAGGAAAACATAGGGCTCGCCACTTTTTAAAATAGCCCGTCTCGTGTGGCACATCTTCGAAATGCTTAATGGGAAGTACGTATGGTTCGCCCTGACAGTGAAAACCTTTGGGGTATTTGGTTCCCCTAAACTGAGGGGAAGAAACAGGATGTGGGAGTCTGAAAGTCTCCGGGACCGAGAGGATATTGGGCCCATTGGCAGAAGAGCTCCAGAGCCTGCTACGAGATTGGAGTGGAAGAATCTCCGAATCTTTTGGGAGAGGAGAATAAATGCAGTTAAATGCCCGGGGCATGGAGGGAGGGCTTCCTCACCTAGGTGAGTCCCACCGCAGGGTCCTGGGCCGTTTGTAATGTGATTTGTCTGAGTCTGAAATGTAGATCAGAACTGGCAGGTTTTTGCTCTGAAGGGCCAAGTGGTAAATATTTTCGGCTTTGGAGGCCAGACGGTCTCTTCACACCTGCTTCCAAAAGCAGGTGGCAAGCTGCGTCGGCTCACAGATTGAAGTTTGCCAACCCCTGATCTACACTGGGTCTTCCTTCTAAATGTTGCCTGGTTATCTTAGCCTCTGGGC